AGCAATAGGTATAGGCAAAGACTTCCTCAATAGAACCCCAGCAGCTCAGCAACTAAGAGAAGGATGGGCAAATTGGACACAACAAAATTAAAAAGCTTCTGCACAACAAAAGAAATGGTCTCTAAATTGAAGAGACTTACCCACAGCGTGGGAGAAAATATTTTGCAGCTGTACATAAGACAAAGGACTGATACCCAGAATAACAGAGAACACAAAAAACTAAACTCTCCCAAATCAATGAACCAGTAAAGAAATGGGCAACTGAACTAAACAGAACTTTCTCAAAACAAAATTTCAAATGGCCAAAAAACACATGAAAAAATGCTCACCATCTCTGGCATAAAGGAAATGCAAATCAAAACTACCTAAAATTCCACCTTACCTCTGTTGAATAGCTAGCATCAAAAACACCACCAAGAACAGGTGATGGCGAGGATGTGGGGAACAGGAACCCTGGTATACTGCTGGTGGGAATGCAAGCTAGTGCAACCACTGTGGAAAACAATATGGAGGCTTCTTAAAAATCTAAACAGATCTGCCACATGATCCAGCAATCCCACTCCTAGGGGTATACCCAAAGGAATGCAACTCAGGCTACTCCATATGTACTGCATATCCATGTTTATTGCAGTGCTATTCACAATAGCCAAGTTACGGTAACAGCAAGATGCCCCACGACTGACAAATGGATTAAGAAAATGTGGTATTTATATACAATGGAGTTTTTACTCAGCCATGAAGAAGAATGAACTTATCATTTGCAAGTAAATAGATGGAACTAGAGAACATCATCTCTAGTTAGCCAGGCTCAAGAAGACCAAAAATCGTATGTTCTTCCTCGTGTGTGTCCTTTAGATCTAGTGCAAATGCAGCAACGTTGTTGGACTTGGGTCACAGGCTAAGGGGAGAGCACATATGGGAGGAATGGGGATAGGTGGGAATCTCAAAACTTGAAAGTGTTTTGATGTCCCCACTGCAGAGAAGCTGAGACAGTAACCTTAAAATGACAGAGGTGAGTTTGGGAAGTGGACCGGGAAGTAGTGAAGAGGTCAGGTAGGGATGAATCAATTCGGGTTGTAATACACTTGTGCATAGAAGCAATGCTAGGAATCTCTCTATATAGGTATCCTTATCTCACTAGCAAAAACGCTACGTCTTTGTTATTTTGCTTATGTCTACTCTCAACAAAATTAGAGAAAAGGGCCGAACAGGTTCTTCCTGAAGTGAGGGGTGGGCGGGAGAGGAACGGGGCGGTGGGGGCGGGTGCTGGGGCATGGGAGAAATGGCTCAAGCAATGTATGCAAATATGAATAAATGATTTTAAAAAATAAAACTAAATTTAATGTGCTAGCAGAATGACTGTAATGATGGAATGCCTGCCTAGCAGGCGTGAGGCACTGGTCCAAACCCCGTATTGCCAAAAAAAAAAAAAAAACCTAAATTTAATTAAAATAAAAACTTTGTGAGTTAAAGAATCTTAGTGTCATCCTGAAAGTTTCTCTATGTCCTCACAGTGATGTCCTGATTCCCACACTCAGAGTACATCACTGTGGTAATATTTCTCATTGTAGATTAATTTAGCATGTTGTAGAACTTCATACAAATGGAATCTTGTAGTACTCATTCTTTGTGGCTAGGCTTTCACTCAGCATAACAATTTTGCGATTCGAGCTATGTTGTATATATTAGTTGTTTATTTCTTTACACTTGTAAATGGTATGTATTCTGTGATTATACCACAGCTTGTTTATCCATTCTTCTGTGGTGAATACTTGGGTTATTATCACCATGTGGCTATTAATGAATAACTTGCTATGAAAATATTTCTAGTTTTTTATGGACATAAGCTTTCCCCGTGAAATTGTCTAAGAATATAAAACTCAGTCATAGGATAAATATACCCTTAGTTTTGTAAGAAATTTCTGTATATTTTTAGAAAGTGTATCATTTTACACTATAACACATACAGTCATGCACACACACATGGGCATCCTGGCTGTCCCACCCATGCCTAGTATTATTCTGAGGCAAGAGAAATGGGGGCATAAAGTGCTATTGGAAAATCACCATTTCTGATATTCAACTCTTTTCCTTCCTCTTCTCCATACATGTCATGCCCACCTTCTCCTACCATTCTCTCTGACACAGGGATCACAGCTTACAGGTATCTTGACTCCATTATTTTAGCAAAGGGTGGCCATCTAGTATTGCTAGTGTAGCTGAAATTCTAACTTTAAAGCCCTCTGGAGATTCTGGACAACATATAAGTTTATATTATCCCCGAGGGAGCCATCTGATATAAATAAATAGTGATCTATATTGATACACTTACTTTTACAAGTGTTCCATTTAACCCTTTTTAAGGCACTGATTATTTGGCAAAATATTCTTCAGGCCCAAGTCAACAGTTGATTGAGGAGAAATATATCAGAATTTTGCGACAATATTTACTAGCATTCTGGAAGAATAATTTTAAATACAATGTTAAAGATTTAATTTTTAATTTTCAAATGAACTTTTATGGATTCTTATTTCTTTAGAGGAAGATTTTTATTTGATCAGGGAAAATATAAAAATGAAAACAAAGCCACCAATTTCTTCTGCCTAGGACCATAATGCATGTTATAGATGGGATTATGTGTATGCTGCAATTCGTCTTCCAGAGGTCCTAAATATGAACTGTGCAAGAATACGTTACACAGAATTGGGAAGACCATGGTAGTTCAGCTAAAGGGAGAAAAGTCTTCCCTAAGCTCTATCATCAGAATAATCACAGTTCTGTCCCCATGCTTAATGGAACAGGTGGATATAAATCCCAAGTCATCTTCCAGTTCTATGGTCTGAGTGTCTGCTTACTCTCTCTGACTCAGCAATTCTTGGTTTTGTGTATACATTTATAAACATTTAATAGTATGTTCTTAGCAATGCTGCTCATAAGTTCCTGGATGAAGACTTACCCTAATTAATGTACACAAATGGTACCATCGATGAATAAATTGTGGTGCATTTATATAGGAGGAGAAGTTATACATCAAAGTAAAGAAGGATCTATATCCTCAAACAATAATATGGATGAATCCCGCACACATAAGATTGAATAAAAGATGCCAGACAAAAAGATATGATTCAATTGATATGAAACACAAGAGACACAACTAATCTGTACTGTCAGAAACCACATAGTGGTTACCCTTGATGGAAGGTGGAATGAAGGTAGGCTAGATATCTGGAATTCTTGTTTTTGTTTTGGTGCTGGTGACTGAAACCAGGGTCTCATGCCCAAGCATGTGTTTTATTACTGAGCTACATCCCTAGCCCCTGATCTGTTTCTTAATATGGTTGCCAGTTATGTGGAGAATATAGTTTATCCAAATTGACCTAGCTCTATGAAACTGGCATATGCACTTTACAACTGTGTGTGTTAATATATAAATTAAATGTGGTATATTCACACAATGAAATACTACTTAGCCATAAAAAGGAGCAAAGTACTGATACATGCTGCAATGTGGATGAGTCTCAAAACATTAGATGGAGTGAATGAAAACATGCACAGAAGTTCATGTATTGTATGCTTCTGTTTACAGGAAATGTCCACAATAAACAAATCTATAAAAAAGAATGTGCTTGCCAAAGGCTAGAGGAAGGAATGGTTGGGGGGTGCGACTGCTTAAAGGTACAGAGTTTCAGGCTGATAAAAATGTTTTAGAACTAGGGAGGGTGATATTATACAATTTGTGATTATGTTAAATGCCATTGTATTGTGAAAAAATGAGAATTAGGAAGACCAATGTTCATTGCAGAATTGGGGAGTTCTAGTTGTTAGAAATCTCATTTAATTCCATTGTCTACAAAACTTACCTGTTCTTAGTTAAGAGACTTCTGTGTTCTCCAAAACAGTGTTTTTCACAGGACTGTGGAATGAAGAATAATACTCACCTGGTTATCTGTAGGAATTCTGATCCTATTTTATTTATCACAACTCTTGTGAATAACTGTGTCCCAGGATCTACTTTTATTTTATCTAGAGCTACCACTTCATCTAGAGTAGCCAGTTGTGTGTGTGTGTGTGTGTGTGTGTGTGTGTTTGTGAGAGAGAGAGAATATGAGTGAACATTTTGGTGTGGTATTTATGGCAGAGATGTAACTATTTATGGAAAACTTGGCAGTTTTTCTATATCTTTGTTTGAAATCTATCAAGGTCAATATGGGAAGGCGACCGGGAAGTAGTGAAGATGTCAGGTAGAGATGAATCAATTCGGGTTTTAATACACTTATACATGGAAGCAATGCTAGGAATCTCTCTGTATTGCTTTCCTTACCTCAATTAGCCAAAATGCTTTGTCTTTCTTATTATTGCTAATGTCTACTCTTCAACAAAATTGAGAAAAGGGCAGAACAGGTTCTGCCTGGAAGTGAGGGGGTGGGGAGGAGTGGAAGGGGGTGGTTGGCAAGGGGGAGAAATGACCCAAACAATGTAATGCACATATGAAGAAATGAATAAAGAAAAAAAAAGCAAACCTGCAGAAAAGACCAAAAAAAAAAAAAAGAAACTAAAGCAAAAATATATGCTGCATAGAGTAGTAATGACTAGAATGACTTATCAGATATGAGAAAACATGTTAAAGTGCTAAAAAATTTAATAAAAAAGAATAGCTTTGAAAAAAAAGATTCTCTCACTTGCCAGTTTTGTTAGCCTAGGAGTCATGTAGGCACCTGCTCAGTGCCCATGTCAAGCTGTTCACATGATTGGTAAAGAGAGCTCTGAGGAGGCCAAAGATATATTTTTTACTTCTTATACAATGAAAAGTTTCCATTGGGATCTGAGAGTACAATTTTGTTTCAACTTTCTATTATTTCTTATGTCAGTATCCCAATTATGTGTATTTTGTACTCCTAAGGCAGCGGTATTAGAAATGAAATGAGCTTATGGGTCAAGGATGGTTTGGTTAATGAAGATCAGAGACTTGATTTTTATACCCTTTTTTTTTTTTAAACAGAAGAAGTTACTATGGAGGAAACTGGGCCAGTTTTAGCTTTTCAGGGCTATTGTCCTGGCTAAAGGAATATAAGGTAAAATTCTCATCTGATCTTTTAATTTGCTGGGCTATATTTTGTCACATAGTTAACCTGCATTGAAGATACCTTAATCTTCATCTGTAATATAGGATTGATACCTTATTTTTATTCATTTATTTGACAAAATATACATACAATCACCTTTTCGGCTAAACTTTTCCTGATGTTCTTATAATATAGATAGCACTTTTTAAATGTAACTAGATATGTTAGGTGATAGTAAGACATATATACACGTGAAACCATTTTCTAATTACTCTGTATGCTCAAATATAAGGTAAGATTTTTTCCACAAGATCACTCACAAAAAGTGTCCCAGATCTTATAAAATCTCATTTATTTCTAGTTGCTCTTTCATTAGTATTTTTTAAACAAACAAAATAAATAATCCGGCTATTGGGGCAGATAAATTAATTTGCAATGATACCTGCCAGTGATAGTTTTGCACCTGAAAGAATCAATACCAAAAAAAAAACCTAAGAAAAAAAGATTTAAATAAATTTTAGTGTTTTTTTACATGAGTGTAGGATCTCACTGCTATAGCTGCTGAGTACCATTGTAAAGAAGTATTTAGAGAGGATTTACAGCATGATATGAAGAGTTGGTAACGTTAGGGAGTTTAACAATTTTTATAAAACTTAAAAAATCTATCCTAATTTTATGCAAATTGATATATGTGGCTTGAGATTAAATTCTTGCTGAGACCATCTTACATGGAACTAGAAACTGTTGTATCTCAAAAGAGTTTAGACTGTTGGGAAAGGAGAATTATAACATTCCAGAGTATTCTATTCAGTTAGTTAAGAAAAAGATAGCTTAGACTTATTATTGCCCAATTGCCATATTAAGAATTGTACTTGTATGTCACTCCAAAAGTAGCTCTCATGATGACAAAGATATTAATGTAGAAGATGCAATGAAGTTATAGTTTGAATATCATTACATAAAATGCATGTAGACAAGCAAGCAATAATTTGTGAAGTAGCATTTCACAAAATCATCAAACTATGTATAAGTAAAGAGAGTAAATGTTATAGACATTGAACTGTTGAATCTATATGCCAAAGCATACACATATTTAAGTTGATTAGAAATCCTGTCTTGAAGCTTACCCTTGGGACACATGTGTGAAGGTCACTTTATATTCAGGCATATTCATTTCTTCCATGAGATGTTAGTCTGGATTCTCAGAACCACAACAGTAAAAATGTCCCAGTTTTCTTAATAGAAAACTTTTGTTAGGAGAAGGAATTTTAAAAGTAAATTTTGGTAATAAGTAGGATTTAATCAAATGCAAATATTTTATGGAAGTATTCTTTTTATTTTAATGCTTGTTTTACTCTAGGAATTTGACTCTGTCAACATATTCTTTTCCCTTTATTTTCTCTCTTTGGGCCACAGTTCTTTTCTCAGGTTGGTAATCCTATGTCTGTACATTTGAAGTTCTTATATTGCTCTTTCTCTTCTACTATGTCATGATGTCTAATGTTATCTAACATTATACTTGATAATGAGCTGATTGCCACTACTTTTTGTTGAGTTTAAGATGTGAAATTCAGGACAACAAAGCCTTATAAAAATAAGTATTACCTTATTTTATGAAATTTTAAGTTTAGAATTTATATAACAAACCATAATATAGTTATAATTCATTACTAGTTCCTTGAACATATATATATAATTTACATTCAGAAAGTTTCCTCTGAGAAAGATGTGTATCAAACAGCTTAAACTTTTAAGCATAGTAAAAATCCCTACAGTTAAAAAATTAAAACTCTGTATCTTGACATGTTTAAGAGTCTCCTATATTCATACTATATCATGTAATTTTCTCCAAAAACTATAATTAGCAATAACTGAAAATTTTAAGGCACCACTTTCAAAGCTTAGAGTTTACATGCTTCATTATATATTTTTTTCTTTCTGAATATAACATGTTCAAGGACTGGCTATTATAAAGTCCTTAGTTATATTGTGTTGAATGCTTTTTAAAAACCTTTTGACATACGATCAAAATTAGCCGTGACTAGTGACCTGACTTCAAAGGTCTGAAAGTTAATGGAATGAAGTCATTTTGACCCTGATGTTTTGACAACTAAATGTGAGGAAAAGAAACTGGACTATTAGTAAGTAATCTGTACAACAGATAAGTTTTATTCTCGGCAGGTAGGAAGTTGGTTGTCTTAGTTCTTAAACAATATCAAAAGAACCATGTCCAAATGGCTGTATCAGAATATCATGTATCTTGATAGAAATGTGTGTTCCAAATCTAGCTTTTGATAGTGTAGAGTTTATACAGTTTTTCTGTACGTCCTTTGAACTTGGCGCACTCAGTTGGAGTCACTTCAGTTACTCTAAAATGATAACCTTCATTGAGTTTTGGTGGGATGATAGTAAAAGTGTAAGTTTGAGCAAGATATAAATTATTACAGAAAATTACAAGTTCAGATTGCCCAATTATTTAAGCAAATCTTAATGTTTGTGTTTTGATTAGGAAAACAGTGACATTGTGACTGAAAGTTCAACATGGCAAGAGCAGATCCTTGAAAATGAAGAAGCCATTGCTCTTAGCAAGAAGGACAAAACCATTCAACATGTGGAAATATTTTCTTATGCCAGGTATAAAATGTATTTATTTAGGATAAACTAAGTTAATGACTTCTTTCTCATACTTCCTCAGAAGCTACCAGTAAGGATTTATATGGCATTGGTTGCTACAAGTCAAACTGATACAATGGTTTTGCCTGTTCTTGTGTGTAACTTTCAGTTTTCTGTATTTAGGTAGTAACACCTAACATTAATGCCTGGCATTAAGATTTACCAAACTCTTTCAAATATCTAGGAAAGCACAGCCTTTGAAGTATCAGAGATTATAATTCACTTAATGCTAAATACCACTCAGTATGAAAAAGTACTGTTCACTAGCATTGTTGAAAGCCACTATAGGAAGATTTACAACAAACGTGATTTTAATTGAAAAGTCACACACTTAAATGAAACTAGAAACAAATGTTTTGTAATTTTATTGTGAAATATTATGTGCCTATAATATTATTTGTACTATAATACAGGAGAGTCAAACTATGATCCTTTGGAAGATACTTTTTTGGTATTTCAAGGCCTCTGATTTCTCTAACCTTTCTGACAGTTGAGGTAAATAGTTTCTGATGACTGAACAGATAGAGTTTGAGTGCAACAGAAACACATTTTCAGTTCCTGATCTCTTCTGTTTCATTTTTGGAACTTCTCAAAGTAAGAAGGTATAAAGGTCGGTGGTGGAAGGTTTATTTTAAAATAACCAAATACTACTCTGCTTTATGTCCTGCTCATTACCAAGCAATGAGGAAGAGGTAAACCAGGATAATGTTCTGTATATCTTCATTCACTTGGAAAAGTTAGCTGGTTACTGATGTCATTGAGTATATCCCGGGAAGTGGAGGACTGTACAGAATCCATTTGTTTATAATAAATGCCACACATGAGTATACAAAAGTGACAATGCCTCACTTAGCCCTAGCCAAACTGTGGTATCCTTAATCTTTGGGATCATGGTTATACAAAACTGGAAATTAGTTGAAAGGGTTTAAGGGCAAAAATGGCTGTCACAAAGATTTGCTTTATGTAAATCATCACCCAAATCCATTAACTTAAATCAAAAGTCTTATTTAAGATACCTATTTATGAAAACCTTATTTTCTGTTTTTTTTTTTAGCATAGTAGTTTAAAGCAACAAATGTGAAAGAGATGTGTACTCGAGGCAAGCATACAAGGTTTAGCCCAGCCTTTGCCTTTTGACTTGCTATCTGATACTGAGCAGGGGATGCCACCACTTTGAACCTGAATTTTTCCAGTAGTAAAATGTGAATGATTTGTATTAAGTGATCTCAGAAGTGTCTCTGAGCTCTTGCATGCAGCTGTCTTAGGTGCCAGATGATAGACTAAAGAGAACACAGCAAGCTGAGAATAGATTTTGGCCATTTCATGCTAGAAGATCCCTCAAGGCCATCACTGTATTTAACAGTATTAACAAGTGACGGTCATGATTATATCCCAGTGTCTTCAGGCAAAAATTAAATAATATTCTCAATTCTCCACCTGAAAAAGGGGAATTTGAAAGATGAATATTAAAAATAGAATAGAAATTTATAATTTTAAAAGGTAAATTTTAGTAACCTTGAAAATTTCTTATTTCTTTCTGAGTATGTAAGGTGATGGCGGTGTAGTAGATCTTTGACTTTTCTTGCAGGATGTATCATAAAATCATTATAAAAACCCTTTGGTACATAGTGAGAAGTATAGTACAAGTTCCTGGCTTTTGTTGTTGATTTTTAGCATACGCATTATTGATGTTCATGTTACATTTTACTGTTAGGGTTTGTGTCTGTGTATTATCACATATGTAGATTCACGTGTCTATCACCATAGTCATTACAGAATATAAAAGGCTCATTAGCACAAGGACCCTTCATATTGCCTTTTTTGTATCCATACCTCATCTCCTCTCCTCCTACCCCCACTGCCCCAATTCCTAACTCCTGGCAACCACTAATCTGTTTATTTGTTTCCTGTCTCTTTAATCTTATCCTTTTGAGAATGTCCATAAATGGAACTATATGGTATGTAACCTTTTGGCATTGACTTTTCTTAGCATAATACTCTGAAATTCATTCAGATTGTATGTGTATCAGTAGTTCAGTGGTTTATTAATATTTTTCTTGCTGATTAGTTTTCCAGAGTATAACCATACATTTTTAATCATTCAGTCAGGTTCGTTCTGTTAAAAATAAAGCTGCAGTGCAGTATTGTGTGCCGGTTTTTATGTGAACATTTTCTTGATATAATTGTTTCTTTGGATAAAAGTTTTTAATCTCTCTGATATAAACATCCAAGTGTTGCTGGGTCATATAGTAATTGCATGTTTAATTTCTTTAAAAACTGCCAAACTTTTTCCAGAAGAGTTGTACCATTTTACATTCCTACCAAAAATAAGTAATCTGGTCTTTCCACATGTTCACCCAAATTTGGTGTTGTCACTTTCTTCATTTAGTCATTCAGATAGGTATGTAGTGGTAACTATTGATGGTTTAATATGAGTTTCCCTGATGGCTGATTGTGAATATTATTTCCTGTGCTTATTTGCTATCTTTTTTTGAAATGTATTTTTGCTTATTGTTTAATTGAATTTTTATTTTTTAATGTTGGTTCCAAAGTTCTTTATTCTAGATATATGTTCTTTTTCAGTCAGATAAGTGGTTTAAGGATATTCCCCAATCCATAGATTATATTTTCATACTTTTTAAACAGTATATTTGACAGAACAAGTATTTTTAATTTTAATAAGGTTCAGTTTATCAACTTTTTTTTACAGATTGTGCTTCTGGTGTCAAATCTCTTAACTCCTTGCCTACATTGAGATCCAAAAGATTTTCTTCTATTAAAAAAAACCTATTACAGTTACATATTGTACACTTTTTAAGTCCATGGTTGACTTTGAGTTAATTGTTTACATGGTATGAGGTTCAGGTCAATATTCATTTTTTCCCTGAGTCTAATGACACTCAGTTGTTTCAGCATCATTTGTTCCAAAGGCTATTCTTTCCTGCATTGAGTTACTTTTGCACCTGTCAAAAATGAGATGGCTGTATTTGTTTGGGTATATTTTTGGTTCTTTTTCTGCTCCTTTGGTATGTATGTCTTTTCTCCACTATTTTCATACTGACTTCATTACTGTAGTTACATAATAGGCCTTGGTATCAAGTAGAATTTATTTTTCTTTGTCAAGGTTGTTTTGGCTGTTTTAGAGTTTTATGCCTTTCTATATAAATGCTTTAATAAGCTTATCTATGTCTAAAAAAACAATTCTGGAAATTCCATAGAAATTGCCTTAAAGATACAGATAAATTAGGGAAGAATTGACATCTTTATTAATTTTGAGTCTTCCATTTATGGTGGTAGTCTTTGATTTTCATCACAAAAACTTTATAATTTTCAGCATACTGATTCTATACATATTTTGTTAATTATATACTTAAGTATTTAGTTCTCTTTGGAACAATGGTAAATGGTATTATCTTTTTAAGCTTTGTTTTCACATGATAATAGTTAATACCTAAGAGTGCAGTTGGTTTTTACATATCAGCCTCGAATGTATCCTAAAATCTTGCTGAACTATTTCCTTATTCTAGAAATTTTGTTTTAGATTCTTTGGGATTTTCTAGCTATTGGCTTTCTGTTTACCAGCAGTTTTTTTCCCCAAGAATCATTTTCTTTTGATAGCCATGTGTTTTCTATTTGTAATCACATAACACAAATTCATTGTATTTTATACTTATCCTTAAGTTCACTTAATGAAGTTTTTCTTTTTTACAGAAAGAAAGTTATTTTCACTTTTTGAGGAATTATTCACTAATGCTGGCCAATCTCTCACTTGCCTAAATATAGTATTCCTTAACTGTTGCACAATATTGCCTAAGTATATGTAATTCAAGTCCTCAAATTGGCCAAAAGAAGTCTTCTTCTGAAATTATCAGAAGTCCTATACTTTAATGGTCATTGACACCTAGAGTAATACTATATTTAGTTGTATCAAGCAATATTTGCTGAGTACCTCTAATCTAAATATCCATAATCCACAGCTTTTTGAGACACCATTAATGGAAAATTCACATCTGGCCTTATGTGGAGGGTCTCAGTCAAAATGCAGACTCACTAAAAATTATGTGTAAAATACCTTCAGGCTGTCTCTATAAGGAATATGTGAAACATAAATGAATTTCTTATTTAGACTGACTCTTATTCCCTAGAAATCTCATTATATGAATGTAAATATTCAAAAATTCTGAAAAAAAAGTCCAAAATGTGAAGCAGTTCCAGGCATTTCAGATGAGGGATACTTAGAGTATTGATAGATGTCAAGCTTGAGATCTTGATGCACTATATACATGGAATATTATTTTAAATATTTTTGTACACACTATGTAAAGACAACTTTATAATGATAACAAAGCTGAAATATTAGACTTTTCCCAGTTTTGACCAGATGAGTTAGCTTATTTGTAGAGTTGGTATTTATTAAGCCCAAATCTATGGGTTGATTCGCACATATGTCAGTTGGCTATTTAATATGAAGGCAGAATAAAGTATGTATGCCATTGATCATAAATAATATTATAGTCATACAAAATTGGGAGTATTAGCTCCTTATTTTCATTTTTGATTGCAGGGAGGACTGGCCAAGAATGCAACTACAAACCCAACACTCTTGATTGGTAAAAACCTCAAAGTACATGACAAATCAATAACACTGTATTCTAATATAAATATATGCTATTTTTGATTGCACATATATATATAACTTACTTTCAAAAACTACTCTGAATTGTTCAACTTAAAGACTTTAGTGCTCATTTAAACATTAAATTTAATATTTTGGATTATTACAAAATTATGCTACATGATAAAATGTAAATTATTTAGATTATTACCATAGGTTAAGTCCAAACATGAGAAATTCTAAAGAACTATCATGATTATTTTAATCAGAGTGGTGTTACGTGCAGTGATGCTTCTAGTTTGGACCTAGAAATAGTTAATTCTCTTTTGAATATTGTTTCTCCTTTACTGGTATAACATTGATGGAGAATGAACACTTCCTTCTTAAATGCAAATGAACCAGTTCTCTAGTGAATTTATATAGTTAATAAAAGTAAAGACTTTATTGTAAACAGGAACCTAAAATTCTGCTTATTCATTTTGAGGTCTAAAAGTCTAACTTAAAAATTAGACAATAAGCTTCTTGACCCGTATTCCCACTGGAATGCTACCAATAAGAAAAAAGGAATAAGAACAAAAGAAATGCAAAATGATACGCTGTTTTTACAATTTAAAAGAAGTTTTTTAAAAATTTATTTATTTATTTATTTATTTATTCATATGTGCATACATTGTTTGAGCCATTTCTACCCCCTGCCCCTGCCCTCTCCCTCTGTCCCCAACCCTCCTCACTTCCAGGCAGAACCCAAGAAGTTTTTAATGCTTGTGTACAATAAGTTTGTTGCATGTGGATAGGTAGATAGAAAAGTTGTTCATTGTATAGCTTAAGCGCTTCAGAGCACTGGGGCAGCTGTGCTATACTTCTTTTTGCTTTCCATCTAGGGTTATAAGATGGTTACACAGTTCCAATCCAGTTCTCACACAACAAAAATTTCTAAGCATGAAAGAAGAGGGGAAAGCTTTTCCTAATACGTGTTTGCTTTACTAAACACTCCCAGCAGATTCTTCCTTAACTCATTGGCTACAAGTGGATTGCCTGCTCAATTAACAAATCCCTCACCAGTGAAAGGATGTAAATTTGCCATACTTAGTTTTCATTAGTCCTGATCCATCTCCTAGGACTAGATAAGTTCTGCCTGATAGTGGAACAGAATTGGGGCTCTTGTAGCAAAGAGGAAGGGGGTAATTGTTGTTGGGTAGGTAACCAGTTTTATACTTGGAGAAATGTGACAAGAAGTTGGTATTTTAGCTGTATTCTACAGTATGTGATAACCTTTTTAAGTTGGTAACAAGTAGAGGAATATGTCTACTAATATACTGTAACAATTCAAGATTGATTAGTGTTACTTTATGTTATAGTTTTTACTATAATATTTTTTAATAGTCTGATTTTTTAAATTCTTTTGAGTAGCCATTAAACATTCATTTTAGTAATAAACTGCTGGGTAGCAGCATAATATATACTGTGAAAATAAAAAATGAATGCCCTTAGAACAAAGTACATGCATCAAAATAAAACAGTACAATTTCTGCACCAAGCTGTGTTGGGGGAGAAAATGTGCAAATGACTGAAAAATAAATAATGAGTACCTGAAAAATAAATAGTGACAACCAACTGGTTGTCAGTTTTTCATTGGATTCATCTAAAAGGGTCACTGTTACAAGGCACATTCAACTGAAAACACATTCAGTTGGATGTGTTCCTTTGTAAGTACTTACATTAATTGATAAGCAGTAACAGATAATGTCAGAATTTATATACCCGAATTCTCAGGGTTATATATAGATTTTGGTAATTAGTAAAAAAAAATACATTTAGACTAAGCAGTATTGAACAGTTATAGTTAGGAAAATTATCTAAAATACTGTCATGGCTTTTGGAGTTCAAATTAGACATATTAATGACATTAGATTTAATTTGTAAAATCTACTTTGATAATAAAAATTTCATAAGAATTAATGTGTAGATTATTTTCCTTAAGAACTAAAAGCTTCTTTTGAGGCCTTTCAATCTACTAACATTATTTTATATTTGGCAGACATATTTTTATGGTTTTCAAGTCCCTTTAAATTAATGCAAATAAGCTATTCTGAAGTTTTCTTTGGAGGTTGAATATCTCTAAAGAAAATATTTGCCATAATATAAAGTTTTAAATTTAGGGGACAGAAGCCCTTTTGATGAACAGAATTTTGTTTACTTCATAATTTTATAAGATGTTAGGAATTTCTGGTGTCTTTATAACTTCTGTTTGGATAGTAATCTCAACTTTGGCAGAACTCCAAATATACTGTGTTTTTTAATGAAAAGTGAGGACAATATTGTGTTTTTATTGTTTGTGTTTTCTGTAGTGATAGGAATTTTACCAAAATACGATGTTGGAAACAGTGAAACTTAATAGCTTATAAATGCAGAATTTCAAAAGAATAATTTCTTTCTTTATACTTATACTTTTCCCAGTATCACATACTAATTTTATTGACTATACCTTTAATTATTTTTACCTATGTATTCCAGGATGTCCAGCACTGGTTAATGCATTTCATTTTCTCTATAACGTTAATGTTTTCACTTAATGTTACAGAGAGTCACTGCATAGATCAGTTTCTATGCTCAGTTTCTATGATTTCATCATTATGGTCTGTAATAAGAGAAGGTGCTATATTTTGTCTTATCTGGAAAGTGAAATTAATTATCCTGTCATTTCTTAGTTTAATCTTTAGGTGTAGAACTTTTACTAAAAACTGTTACCTTAGATCCCTCATGGAACTCACTTAAGTTACTGGCTTTGAAAATATTGAGAGAGAATACAGAGCGTGAAAATGACAGAAAATATACAGATCACGTTTCATATAATTGCCCATCATTTTTAATGATAATGGTGCTGTTGTGTGTTTATGTTGGCCACCATGTGAATGCAAACAACCCAAGTACACATGTTTTGAGTTGCCTTTTGGCCTGGACGCAGTTTAACAGTACCTTAGAATTGTTCAATATCTTATATTTGATTAACCTTTCAGAATTCATAAAATAATTTTCACATAAGTGAGCTTATTTATCTTCCAAGTCTCTTATGAACAGAAAGGCACATGGACTTATCAGCATTTTGTAAGTAAGAATGTAGGATATTAAGTGACTTACCGACAATCTCCTAAGCCATACATCTAGAACTAGAACTTAGGGGTGCTTTCTCCACTCTAGTTTCCTAGATCTGAAAACTCTTATTGTACTGTTAATGATATAAATTCCTGTTTTCATTAGATTTCATTGAAATGATTAGGTTGTAACAGTAAATATGCTATTTTATTTCTTGATGTCTGAGTGTTAGTTTTCATTGTCCTTTTTATTGTAATATTTATTGTGTTAATTTAATAAAGCCCTTCAGTTTTTCATTTCACTGCACCCAGATAATTTGAATTTATATGCATTGTTTTATCTTGGCCTACCTTTTTTTTTGCTTTCTACAAATAAGTTTCTTTCATATTAAAAATATCTGTTGTCTGTACAACCCCCTTTTTATTAAGCATTTATTAGACACAGTGTTCATACAACAAGTGTATTATAAGGAGCACACAAAAAGAGGTGTTAGAGTCTTCCCTCAGGGAATTCAGAAGATAAAGCATATGCAGGTTGAGAATTCCTTATCCAAGATGCTTGGGACCCAGAAGTGCTTTGTATTTTAGATTTTTGGATTGTGGAGTATTGTTACAGGCTTTAGTGATTGAGCATCCTTAATCCAAAATGCTCCAAAATCTAAAATTTTTGAGCAATGACAAAAAAAAACTTTGGAGTCTGAAACATTTCATATTTTGGATTTTTAGACTAGGGATGTTCAACCTATACTGGACAGCCAAAGGACTATTAAAAAGGAATTGATAAATAAATGCAGTGTAACCTGCATGTCTTTGAAGGGTAATAACATTATGATGAACATTGTTGGATTAAGGAAGATTTCTTGAACATGAAGTTCAGTTTTTTTCTCTTAGAACATATAGATTGTTAATATATGTGATTATGTCTAGGAATGTTTAATTATGATTTTATGGAGAGTGCAAGAATAGCCCTATGAATGAAAACATTTATATGGGTCAACACATGGTGATTAGAGTTAATAAATTGGCATAAGAGATGCCATGTTGGAAAATAGGTGATGAGATCAGAGGATTAGTGAAGAAGAGGATTTGATTTTGAGCCAGAAAGAGAAAGGTTTTCTGGAAGTAGAGTTTAGTTTTGATTAAAGGAAGGGCTATTCTTAGTTCTGGAGTAATCAGCAGATGTTTACTTGCCAGGACTTGTGAAGTGTAAGGCATCTGGCTATGTATTGAACAATATTGAGCTAGTATTGAGCTAGTTTTCAGCTCAATGAAAATACCAGATTCTGTGGAGAAGCAATTCAAAATGCAGGCCCATTGAATGGGAGCCTTTTGTGTCAGTCAAGGCAATGATGGACTAAGAGTGTTAACTGTAATAATCACTTTGGAAAATGGGTTTCCACTAGAGTAGTAGCCGTCAATACTTAAACAGTATACAGCAGGAAATTATACAGAAAGATCATGTTAAATACCACAATATGATAGGTCAACTTAAACTTCTCATGGCAGGCGTTTTTTCTGCTTTACTGAACATACCTCTGTCACACTACCAAGTCAAGAAAGCCTCAATAATAATCATCTTTGGTAACTAAGATTGTTGAGCATCTACTATGCCACAGGCAGTGTGCCAGGTTCTTTACCTGAAATACTTCATTTAATCTTTAGATTAATCTTGAAGGTAGGCGGTATTTATCCTGATGTTATGGATGGATAATTTAGGTCTCCAAGAGCATAAATAACTTGTTTAAGTTTACAGCTAACTAGTTATAGGGTTAGTGTTTGAACCCAGTTCTCTTAATTCTGAAGACTATAATTGTTCATTTGCTTCTGAAACAAAATTCTTGTGTCTGTCTTAAATTCTCAAGAATATACATGTGTCGTGGCCTCCTTAACCCTGAAATATTTATTTGTACTTTTCAAATATTAAGTACATTTCATATTATATTGAAACCTTAACCTTTAATGTCTGCATCACAGATGGTAAAATAATACACTGAACTTTATAAGATAAAAGGAATTAAGGAATACAAATTGCCATGAAAAGTTAAAGCAATAGGACAAATGTAGCAGGATAGAATTATCCAAAGCATGATATTAATTATTATTATAATTTCTTATTAGTCAGGATTCTCATGAAGATGTTGAAGAAGCTGGTGCACTGCAGAGAAATCACACTTCTGTGATATCTGCAAACCCCACAGAAGCTGCAAATTCTGCCGGCCTGCCACCAGAGGATGAGTCATTGCTTACTGAATGCTTTGAAATGCCCGCAGAACAAACTCCAAGCAGTCAGAGTGCTCAAGTAGTAAATGATGCTGAAGTGACAGGGGAGAAAGAAAACCATAGTGAGGATAAAACTTCAGAAGAGGAAACAAATGACTATGTACCCATAGCAACAGACACCATAGAGCAACCAAAGAAAAATAGAATTACTTATTCACAGATTATTAAAGAAGGCAAGAGATTTAATATTGATTTGGTATCAAAAGTGAGTTTCAATTTTGCCTATCATATTATTGAACAACACTAACTTCTATTTGATTGAAAATAGCATCTGTGTGAAGTGTAGAGCACTTATTTTGTAAAAAGATAGTAGCCAAAAGTTTATAATTCATTCTATAACTATAGGTTAAAACATACCAAAATGCTCCTGTTAAAATACTTTTAATGTGTTTTTAATTGTACTTTCATACCTGAAGAATCCTTTTTTACTAGAACACATAGTTCATCCTAATGTTCTTCTAATGCATTGACACTGTGAATTCTATCAAAAAAATTCTAATGACCTGTTTATAAGTCCATGTCTTTTACTAGCTTATATTAATTGTACAAAGTAAGGGTATCATTGTGCATATTCATGCCTTTATAGTCAACTTTACATCAACTTTTTAACCTTTATATATAGTAGCTATTTTGACATTTATATGATGATGAATATTCTGAATAAACCAATACATTTTTGAAAATCATGTGTTCAGGTTTGAGGACTTCAGAGGATAATTTCATAGTGGCAGAGAGACAGGGAAGAAACCTTTTGTCTTCAGTTATATTTCCATCCTTAACTCTGATGTTATTGCAGTGTAATTTCAGAAGAGGCTCCTGGATCTTAAAAGGGATCAGGGTTGCAATGATTTCATAGAAAGCAAAACTGTTTTTGTGCAAAATACTAAAAAACAGTAAGGTAAAGGATTATGACCTTAAAGAGTTAGGGGTTTGGTAAAAGTATAGAAAAACCACAACCAAATCTTATAACTTCAGGGCACACAGTGAGAAATTGGAAACAAATAGGAGAGGATAGTAAATAACATCAGACTTCCCTCAAAACTAGACTTTTCAATTTAAGGTGCTTTCCTCAGATTCCAAGTAATAGGGGAAAGAGAAGGAACAGTGTATGCCTCTCACATTTTGTGGATGCAATCACAAATCCTTGTACTCCTGTTCCCTTTGAACTTGATGTTGGGAAATATTAATATCTTTTTTACCATTCATTTTTCTTTTTGTCATATAGCACTCTGTGTTTGATTCTATCATGGTCTGAGTTGCTACTGCCTTAGTCCTACTACATATTTCTGTTTTTAAAATTTATTTTATTATTGTTGTACTGGGGGTACATTGTGATATTTACAAAAGTACTTAACAATATATCATAGTTGAATTCACCCCCTCCATCATTCTCCTTTTTCTGTCCTCCTCCCATTCCTGGAATAGTTTCAACAGGTCTCCTTTTTCCATTTTCATACATGTGTACATAATATTTCCACCATATTCACCCTCCTATACCCTTTCCTTATGTCCTCCCCCATCCCACTGGTACCTACCACCCAGATGGGACTTGTTTTGCCTTCTTGTTCTCTGTTTTTATTAAAAAAATACATTTTTTTGTGTTTCATTGTGACAGTTCCATGTATATATGTATTAGAGCCCAAATTGTTTCATCCCCCCTATTTTTCTCCTTTCGACCTTAGTCCCCTTCTTATGATGATTTTAGTAGATTTAAAAATTCTATATTCACTCTTGTATAAGATGTGCATCAACTACATGCCTATACTACCTTTTTTGTCTACTTTGACTGTACCATCCTTTGAAATCTACCATTCTTTCTCTGATTCCTTCCTTTTTGTCTCTGGATGGAAGTTTAATGCTAGCTCATAATAACTTCTCTACTTTCTTGAGCAGTATTGTTTGAATTCAGTTAAAAAAGAAAACAAAAATTGAAGTAGTCTAATAACCAATGGGCTTTGTTCTAAAGATTGCACTTAAATTAGTTACTTGGAATCTGGAACGCCTTACCTAAAGAAACCATGAGAAAAAGAATGTGGTTAAGAATCACAGCCAAAGGCAGGTATAGTGTCACTCCTGTACTCCTAGCTATTAAGGGGGCTGTGGCAAGAGGATCCCTTGAGCCCATGAGGTCGAGGCAACATAGGAAGAACTTGTCTCAAAGAAGATATATCTAACCCTTATATTAGCTGAAGTATAGTACATAACAAAGGGAAATGGTAAAAGATGATGCTGTTTCAATTGTAGGAAATAGTATAGAAAATTATTTAGTTGTATAAGAAAATCAACATTGTTTATAGGAATGAAAAGTTTAATTAGAAGCTGAGACATTGAAACTGTGAAAGAGATTGGTGGATATTTTCATGGATTTGAATGGTTAGTAATTTTGGATCTCTGAGTGAAAAAAAAATGTGTTCATATGCAGTTATTAGGCAGTTATAGTTTGTCCTGCATAGTTTTTGTGAGTTCATACATCAAACAAAAATAGCCAATAACTATTTATTGTGCTTATTCTACAAAAGTAGAAGTATCTAAAGATTGTGTGACCATAGCAATACGAGGTTTATTGTCAATTTTTAAATGGTAGTCATTTAGTGAACTTTTTTTAGTACATGCTGGATTGAAAATGGTATATTTCTTGTTATTTGAGCTGGTTTTTTGAAAATGTCCGTTCTAATAATTGCACTTGTAACTTCTGTGTTTAGGATTGTTACCAAATAGCTATCTTAACTCCACTCTTGCCTAAAATCATTTTTGTCTTTGAAGTACTTGACATTTCTTCATGTATTTGATCTCAACGTCATCATGGTATAGTTAAGAAATATTATGGGGCTTTATAGTTTACAAAACATATCCATGTATCTTTAAAAAAACAGCTCAGAAAAAGAACCAGCTCAGGGTAGGTTAGTTTACTAAAATACATACAGTGCTACAGTTCAGAATAATAGAGAAAATCAAAGATGAAATTCTTATAATGAAAACTCATTTCTAAGTCCATAATTTTAAAATTATGGACCAAATTATTAAACCTAGTTCCCATTATTTTTATAAAATTGACATATTCTTTACCCTCATCACGATGAATTTTCTATAGTAGATCACTTAAAGGATGGGGAAAAAGAAGCTTAGGTTTAAATATGGTACACATCTGTTATTTCTAAGCTTAAGAAAACAAGGGCTGGTGGAGTGGTTTAAGTAGTAGAGCACCTGACTGGCAAGTGTGAGGCGCTGAGTTTAAACCCCAGTACACAAAAAGAGAAAAAGAAACAAACAAAAATCTGGGATAATTTTCATTGAAATTTATTTTCACTCTTCAGTGATCTCTGAAGTACATTAGTTAAATGGGCATTAAATCTTAAGCTTTATTCGGTCTTATTAAATGAAAATACATTAATATTTGTATGTTAATATTTGTGAAAGTATTAACGGGTTTTAAGATCTTGATCCTTAAATCTCAGATGTTTATGTTTTTGAACAAATGTGGGTTTTGAAATACCTGTTTATTATACAATTAAGACTTGGCAATATATTCTTAAAAACAGGCTATTTTAGTTGTATATTGTGTTAGGAAGAAGGTAATGAAGCAACATACCATATTTAGTGAGGTAATTGGATTTGTTTCATCAAATATGATACCAATTTTGTTTGTTCTCCAAAATGTTGAACTAACATAATAGTTTATAAAATTTAACTGATACTGATTTACAGAAAGTGCTGTTCTATTGAATGCTCAGACTAATGGTTTAGATTGATTTTTGAGATTCCCCTTTTCTTTGTATAATAAAACAAATTTCATTTTATTTCCTACGGTTTTCATAGATGTAACATTTACATTTTAACATTTATTGAGTTGTAGACATTATGTAAAGGTACCTTGATTATAGAAAATAACCAAATCTGTTGCTGAACATTAAATTTAGCGCATACTAGCTGAGTGTTTATTTAAATTCTTGTTTTTTTCCTCTCTGATATTAGTTATGAGATATGTTGAAAATTAAATCAATCCCTCATATGCATGCCAGCAGTAGCTATCGTCAATTCTTGAAAAAGTCTTATCTCATATGAACCTAGACTGCTTGGGTTGTAGAGGGACCTTATGATGTGACTCTTTGAGTGAAAATGCATTACAGTTTTCTCTGGGCTAGTTTTATCTTACAAGCACCTGGCCTTATACAGGTCTACAGTTCCTTATTCCAAAGCCCCTGGGTGGTGGTATGTTGTTCAGATTCAAAAATATACTGTAGAAGATAATAGAGTGAGTATGCCAATATGTTATATATTATGTAACATTCTTAGCAGATCTGAGGAACATTTCTGTGCTGAAATGTGTGAATAGTCATATATATTGGGACAAAGACAGAAGAACTTTCTATCAGTTTGAATCAGATTTTCCTACTAAATAAGTTATGAAAAAACTTTTGGATTGTAGAAGTTTTTTTTTATTATAAAATATCTGAATTTTTAATTTCAGATAATGAATTGTAAACATGTAGTAAATTGTGATGTGTATTATAATATTTATAGGTATAGTCTTTTATAAATGATTAAGTGTTTATCATGTTTCCATTATTTTGCCTTTGACCTTACCCTCTAAAATTTTTCTTTGTATAGCTGCTGTATTCTCGGGGATTACTAATTGATCTTCTAATCAAATCTAATGTTAGTCGATATGCAGAGTTTAAAAATATTACCAGGATTCTTGCATTTCGAGAAGGAAGAGTGGAACAGGTACTATACTAATCAAGGATGTAACTGAACCTACACTTAAATTATCATGGTTCATTTTGGGAAAAAAAGCAAGTAAGGTTGCTATTTCCCTGGTAAGGCAGCATACTCTAATCTTGCATGATGATTTAGAAATGTAAATGGTAAGATTTGCTTAATTAAAATTTCTAGTGTTACTTTTCTGATGAGTTATTCCACGGCTTGATTTTGCTCTTGAGAAAGTGTTACTTTCAGGCAGCAGTGCTACATTTGAACTGTCATTTGTTCCCTGTTAGGTTGACATGCCATTGGCTTTTTAATGGCATGAAGAACAACTTGGCAGAATTAAGTAAGAAAGCTTGCAAGTTGATTAGCTCTGAAGTTAACAGAGATGCCATTAGAAGTGATGGAAGGTGACATAAAACAGTCAAACTAGAATGACATAATGTTGTTATATATAAAGTAAAAATGTAATTTGAAATACTTGTATCATTAGGAAGCAGTTTTATAACTTAAAATCATACTGCTTTGCAGGTTCCTTGTTCCAGAGCAGATGTCTTTAATAGTAAACAGCTTACGATGGTAGAAAAGCGAATGCTAATGAAATTTCTTACATTTTGTATGGAATTTGAAGAACATCCTGATGAATACAAAGGTAGTATTTTACATTAAATTGTGTTCTCTAATTAGTTGTGATTTTAATTTTAATATGCTTGCTCTAATTTGGTAAGCCACTCTGTATTATTTTAAAATATAGTGTAACACTGCAGTATTTATTAGTTTAAGCCCTTAGCAACATGTAGCTATATAATTTCTTAAAATATTATCAAATTAAATGTTCCTCAGTTTTTTACTAACCATATTTCAAGTGCTTAGTGACCCTTTGTGGCTAGTGTCTATACTACAAGTATTTTCAACATAACAGAAATACTCTGATCAATTTTAATTTTTGCTTAAAAATATTGCTGCCAACTAGCGTTTGGTAGATGACATTTCCCTTTTATTGTTCCATTCTTTTTTCTCATCAATAGTTAAAAACCCTGTTTACATTGCCACTTTTGGGACTTGTTTAACTTAAAAGCCTTTAAAAAATTTTTTTTTGGTTCTAGAATTTAAACTCAAGGTCTTGCACTTGCTAGGCAGCTGCTTTACCACTTGAGCCATGCCTCCAGACCTTGCTTAGAATTTTGAACTATTCATTTTGATTGACAATAAAAAAGGCTAGATGGCATATGGGGAAACCACTGGATTTGGAGAATACATGGTTTCTAATATTAACTTTGACCCATCTCACTGTGCAATCCAGGGGCCAGTTACATGAGATTTTCTTGAAAATTGAATGTACCATTTTAATATCAGAATCATACATTTAATGTTCATTGGAATGGAAATGTTATGAAAAGTAATACCATGAAAAACTTTGATGGAATAATAAAAATCTAATTATTGCTCTTAAAGCTTAAGTCCAACAGGTATTGACTGCCAACTTGTTCTTTCCAATGGATGTATAAACTTACATCTTCACTGTAGTTTTTTTGTAATTTTTATTTATTTAAGTTATTTCCATAAAGTTTTTGTCTTTTCCCATTTTCTACCACTAATTACATTGTTTTTTGTTTTTGATTTAAAGGAGTTGTTTTTAGGGATCCCTTATGTTTTGTTACATGATTATGTGGCAGGATGACTAACTCCAGTAGCCACACAGAAATTAGTTTCATTGCTTTTTTTTTTCTTTTTGGCACCATCAGGGTTTGAACTCAGGGCCTCACGCTTGCAAGGCAAGCCTTCTTACTGCTTGAGCCACTCCACCAACTCTTTTTTGTGATGGATTTTTTGAGAAAGGGTCTCACAAACTATTTGCCTGGGCCTGGCTTCGAATTGCAGTCTTCCTGATCTCTGCCTCCTGAATGGCTAGGATTATAGGCATGAGCCACTGGCACCCAGCCAGTTTTATTGGTTTTTAATCATAGTTTTTTGTTCTAAATCTTAGGAATAGGTATACATTTAATAAAAAAAACCTGCTACTTTGTCATTTTCACCAGCAGGTTTCCATTTTATCATATTTAGTATTTTCAAATGTAATTATTGACAGCATTATGCAGCTTAAATGTTAATAAAGTAAGATCATTAGCAACCATGGCAGCACATTGAGTTATTTAATGATTTTCTGGGTTTTTTTATCCATAAAATAGTAAAATAATCATCTAAAGATTAAAAAGTAATTAAAAAAGTACCGTCAGTCCAGTTAGGTTAGTAGAATTCTTTCTTGTGTTTTGTGACTGTCCAAGATGTGATTCTAGGACTTCCCATGTCCTTTGTGAAGACTTTTAACACAGTCTTGATTGCATTCATTTGGGGAGGTTTTAAGGAGTTTAGTTCTGATTTTAATCGATTAATTTTCAACTTTCTTTTCATAGCGTATGAGGACGTTACATTTTCTGAATATTTAAAAACTCAAAAATTAACCCCCAACCTCCAATATTTTGTCCTCCATTCAATTGCAATGACATCAGAGTCAACCAGCAGTACCATAGATGGTCTCCAAGCTACCAAAAACTTTCTTCACTGTCTCGGGCGGTATGGTAACACTCCATTTTTGTTTCCTTTGTATGGCCAAGGAGAACTTCCCCAGTGTTTCTGCAGGTAAGTTTGGCATTGGTTTTCTGGTGTCTTCTAAAAGAGATACTTGAATAGCATATGAAAACTAGAAGAAAATGAGATTTACTCAAGATTTCATATATGCAAACATATACTTTATTCTACTTTTAAGTTACTAATTTACTTACTTAATTATCCATATAAATTATGTATTCTGTTTGGCCTATTAGCTGGCTTTTCATAGCTCCACATGTTTGCCAAGATTTAAAAATTTTATGTCAGTTTAACTTATGTAGAATACCATTGCACTGTATGTTTTAATCTTGAGTTTCCCTGATTACCTATGAGATTGAGCCTCTTACATGTTTATTGCTATTTATGGTTTCTTCTCTGGAGTATACTTGTTTATGTCTTTTACCCATTTGCCTATTGGGTTGTTGTGGTTTTTTTATTGATTTGTTGGAGTTTTGAAATATGTTCTCAGTTTTATATGTTGCATGTATTTTGTCTTACTGTATTTATGGTACATGGAGATCATTAAGATTAATGTAGTTAAATATATGAAGCTTTTCTTTTAGGCTTAGTTCTTTTCAGTATTTTAAAATTTAATTATATTATTAATTATATTTCATTTTGCTGTTGTAAAATTTGATGTCTGCCAAATTTACCATTTCTTTATAAGTAATCTCTCTTTTCTTTCAAGCTGTTTTTTTAAGATAGTTTGCTTTTGATGTTCTGCAGCTTTACTACACTGAGTCTTAGGTGTTGGTTTCTTCGTATTTATATAGCTTAGTATGTGTTGAACCATAGGAAGTTAACAGTGTTCAACCATTCTGACCTAGAGTTCCATGTGGTTTGACCAAATACATTGTTTCCTCTGTCTGTGAATTTAGTATTTAGGAAATGAATATCCTTATAAGTGTTAGTTTTTTCCCATTGTTTCTTTGCTCACCTTTTGAAATGAAAATAAATTATGTTTTAGAATTTAGCATTCTCTTTTCCATATCTCTTAATATCTCATTCATACTTTCTATATCCTAGTCCTTCTGATTGCATTCTGGGTTCTTTATTAAGTATGTTAATTCTTATCACCTGTTAACATTCATTTTTTAGGTAGTACTGGGGTTTGAACTCAGCCTCATGCTTGCTAAGGCAGCTGCTCTACCATTTGAGCAATGCCTCGAGTCATTATTTCAATATTTTTATCTTTAAGTTTTTGAAGTTTGGATCCCTCCTCATTTTCCTTATCATTTTTGATAGTTTCTTTTTCATTTTCATTTATTGATTCCTATTTCTTTAAACATTCCATATGTAGATATTTTACATTCTTATTCTTTTAACCTTGTGGCATTAAAGTTCATAATGATACAACACTGACATGTGTTATTTCTAATGACTCATTTTAATGGTTTATTTTCTTGTGCAGTGCTTATCTTTGAGAGGCTATATCTGATTTTTTAATCTGGGGATTAAAATTTAGGTTGCTTTCCTTACACAATTATTTGTGTTTCTTTTATCCATAAGATACTACAAACTTGAGACCATTCTAGGAGGGGAGATGGCCCAAACAACGTATACACATGAGTAAATGTAAAAATGATAAAATAAAAAAAAGGAGACCGTTCTAGTTCTTTCCAGGAGGTCCTCACTTAATAATGGAGCCCCAGATACAACAACCACATTGTGATATACTAGGCTTTTTAAAATCTAATTTCTTGTAGTGCTTATTGCACAAAGCTTTGATTTTAGCTCTGGGCTTATATTGTATGTGTGGATTGTTTGGGGGAATGGAGTGTTTACCATGGATATTTCTTTTCCTTCAGTGTTAGCTGTGCAGTAAGAATTACGTTTCATGGAAAATGTAGTTTTTTTGGTATCAGAAGGAGGTTCTGTCACAATACTCAATCCAATACACCACTGGAAGTTGGAATTCTCAAATTCCCATTTCCTAGGTATACAATTGTATGAATGGAAGTGAGTATGTTATACATTTTAAGATGACTGCCTTTTTAATATAATAGGTCTATGTATTTCCAAACAACCCCTTCTTTTGATTACAGATCAAAGTAGGGATGAACAGAGAGTACCATGTCCCCTAGGGTCAGAGGTCCTTCTATTAACTGAACCTAAGAAGGGAGTTCTATGGTTTTCATAGTTACTTTTTCCCTCTTCATGTTTCATTCATTGTCTCACTCAAAGAAACCACGCTGTTTTCTCATATTGCAACATGCTACTAAGTAACAAGAACACAATGAACAGATGCCTTACTAGTATTTTATAAAGTGGAATGCATGAGCCAATCTCCAGTGGCTCATGCCTATAATCCTAGCTACCTGGGAGGCTGATATTGGGAGGATCGAGGTTCAAGATCAGCCCAGGCAAATAGTTCTCAAGACCCCCATCTCCAAAATAACCAGAGCAAAATGGACTGGAAGTGTGGCTCAAGCTGTAGAGACCTGCTTTGTAAGTGTGAAGCCCTGAGTTCAAACCCTAGTCCCACCAACAAAATAATAGAGTGCAGATTGAGCATTCCTAATCTGAAGAAAAATGCTAAATTTGCCAGTCCGAAATACTGTTGCACTAAAAATGTAGAGAATTACCTTCCTACTGTATATAGAGAGATAATTTCAAACATATATAACTTTCATGTTTAGAGTTGAGTCTCATCCCTCAGATATCTTATTATGTATTGCAAATATGGAAAAAATCCTAAATTTCAAACCTCTTGTTCCAAGCATTTGAGATATGGGATACTCAAGCTATATTTTAACCTCATCCCTTTTTCCCCCAAAAGATCCTATATTTCTTTCCTACTTCATTTTATAAATTTGTTTTTAGGTTTTCTTTATACATTTTAAAAAGAAAAGACATTTGAGTATCATTTGTTTATGTTGTACTGTTATAAAATTTCAGAATGAGATTCTTACGGATTTATATCTTAGACGAAGACAACATTTTCCCAATGATGGTTTTTAACCTTTTTAAGACTGAGATTTTTGTCAAGAACTTGTACATATTTTTATCTTCTGCAGAGCCTATGTCAGTATTGTACATGTGGTTGAATTTTGAAGTTTGTTGTGAAAATTATACGTCTTCTCCAATTGAAGTGTACTTTCAAGGGATAATGTAATTAAATGTGTGTATGGTAAAAATGACAAAAGACCCCTTTTCTGTTACATTTGAAGTAATTCTTTGAAGTAATTTTCTGTTACATTTGAAGTAATTCTTTGGTAATTAAGGTAACTCTTGAGTACTTTCCACATTTTGCATACATGAGAATATGTATGAATTAAAATAAAAATACATTTTCTTGGTCTAGGAATATTAACCTCTAATTTTATGATGGATTCCCTGCATTATGCTTTATAATTTCGTATAAATATCATTCTGTTTATATTTTAACATAGTAACACTACCATCATCTATACATCATAGGCTACATTTTTTATCACCAGGTTATCAGAATAACTTGTCACCTTTTCTATGATTTCTAACTACCATTCTTATTCTCTTTTAATATAAGCCACTTAGGTATTTCTCACATCCAGTTACACTGTGTTCTCATGAAGGCTACTGTTATAAATGGCATGAATGCATATTTATGTGAAGGATTCAAAGACATTTGTAAGTCATTTCCTTGCATTCTAAATGACTTCTTGTAAGTAGTATAGCATTTTAACTACTTGAGATAACTATGGACAAACACCTTTTTATCATTTTAAATAGGTAGATGTTTTTAGCAAGGAAAATGATGTTTATGTATTTATTGTATCTAGCAACCATTAATAAGTCAGGACAGATAATTTGGACCATATTGAAATAAAAGTCATTGAAATCTATATGTTTCTCTAGTCTAGCAAGCCTTAGAATTTCCCTTATTATGTATTAGAGGGTTAATATTTTTTCTGGCAAGCTAGACAGGGTATATATGCAGTATACAGGTTTTTAAACTCACAATACATCTTACCAACAGAATTCCTTTTAAAAGCCTAACTGAGCTAATTTATTTCTGTTATCTCTCTGGTTGGTAACATAGTAGCCTTTAGAAATATCTTCTAGCCAAAAATCGTATGTTCTCCCTCATATGCGGATTATAGACCTTAAACAAATGCAGTAATATTATTGGACATGGGTCACACGCTAAGGGGAGTGTGCATACAGGAGAAATAGGGAGAGAGAAGGAAACCTAAAACTTGGAATTGTTTGATGTGCCTACTGTAGAGGAGCTAATAAAGTAATCTTAAACTAACAGAGGACACTATGGGAAGGTGACTGGAAAGTAGTGAAGAGGGCTGGTAGAGATGAACCAGTTCAGGTTGTAATACACATGTGTATGAAGGCAATGCTAGGAATCTCTCTGTATAGCTATCTTTATCTCAAGCTAACAAAAATGCTATATCTTTCGTATTGTCTCTTATGTTTTCTCGTCAACAAAATTGAAGAAGAGGGCAGAACAAGTTCTTCCTGGAAGCGAGGGGGGGAAGGGAAGGGGGTGGTGGGCAGGGGAGAGAGATGGCCCAAACAATGTATACACATGAATAAATGAATAAACAATTAAAAAAAGAAATATCTTCTAGTTCAGAATAGGTTTTATATACTGTGTCATGTTTTCATAACCTAAGAAATGAAGCAGTACCAATCGTGGCAAACAAACTTTGTATATTTTAAGTAGACCAGGACTGCCCAGAGTCCAGATCTTTTTAACATTTTTTAAAAGGGGGGAGGGGTAATTTAACTGTTAGTTTACTAGGTAATTTATTCTTTCATTCTTTGGTGGCCTAGACTTGATCTCACTTTTTCTTTTTTTTTCTTTTATGTTGTAAGATTGTTAAAAGATGAAAGATGAGAACGTTTCAACTTTAGAATATAATGTAAATTATATAAGCGCTTAAATATATGTATATATATAAATTAATAAATTATCACCACTACACACTTTTTAGTAAATGATCAAACCCAACATTTCCTAGCATACTGTATGTGAAAAATTAAATAGATAGCAGTAATATTATGTAAGGAAAATTTCCTGTTGTCTCAGGAATTTGTGAAATAAAAGCTGGTCTCTAAATTAGAAGCTTTTAAAAATAGAGAATGAGAGATCAAAAGTCCAATAAATGTATAATG